TTACAAAACATAAGTATAAATATATTTTTTATCATTCTTGACTTTATGCATGTTGGAACCATGCCATTCTAGTTTTCTTTATAAAAAATGAAGAAATAAAAACAAGAAACGGTAACATTACAAAATAAAGTAACGTAGTTTTAGGAATCATAAAAAAAGTTACATGATAAAGTTACTGGACAAAATAAAGTTACATGATTTTAAGAATCACATCATTCTATTTTGTCTGGCTTTCCACTTTCTTACTACGATGTGTACAATTATCAACCAATAATTAATTAGTACAACAAGAGAAAGATTCAAACTCATGACTTCTTGATTAAATACTAACAAGTGTTAAATATCATGGAACTGAGTTAAGCTCGTGAGTATATTTTTTAATTGGCTTTTATCAAGTCATCATTTCATTATCCATGTTATTAACATGAACTATATAAAATTGTAAACTAATCATTTCATTAACCATGTTATTAATATGAACTATATAAAATTGTAAACTAAAGATCCAATATACAATTTTAGAAGTTTAAGAATTAAAATTGATACAACTATTAAAATTTTAATTTAATCAAAATCTTCAATAAATATAAACTATAATACTCGATAATTAGTCTTAAAAAAAACTCGATAATTAATTAATCAATTATACCATCAATTCAAGTCATTTAATAATTTATCTCCTAAAAAGAAGGCTTTTATAGGGAAAAAAAATCTGATTTCCAAAAAAAAAACTTGATAATTAATTAATTAATTATACCATCAATTCAAGTCATTTAATAATTTATCTCCTAAAAAGAAGGCTTTTATAGGGAAAAAAAATCTGATTTCCATTTTCACGCTGTGCATGAAGAGAGGAAAGGAGAGAGAAAGGAGAGAGAGAGATGTTACAAAACAGACAGGGGATTGAAACGAGAAGAGGGGAGAGAAAACCTTTTAAACTTCAAATATTAATAATTCAAAATCAATTTTAATTATATAAGAATCATGTAACCAAACATTAAAATAATTATATAATAATCATTTTCACAAAATCATTTCTCAATAAATTTCAGTTGCCTTCCTTAAAAAAAAAAAGATACTAAAAGAGTTGTTCCAAAAATTATTCTCAAACATGTCTTTAATATTTTATAAGGTTTTTCAAAAACTATAGCAAACATAATTTGACAGCAATTGACCTATATCTTCAGAGATTGTGAATTCAATCTCCTACCCTATGTATTATATTAAAAATAAATAAATATGATGTTTCCAAATACGAGACTTTATTTTAATATTGTAAATAAGTAAACTAATTATTTAAATATGGTGCCTTTGCTTAAAAATGTGGGACCTTTGATTAAAAGGTTGCAAAGGTGATCCATCTCTTAGTTATCTCTCGAAGAGATGAATAGATTAATTAATTTTTCAATTTTTTTTATATTTCGATAGTAATAATTTTTTTTAATTTTTTATATAAATTAAAACTAAAATTCATTTTAAAAATAATATTGAAATATTTATATAAATAAAATAAAAATTATCATTACTTATAGTGATGATATTGCCACGTATTAAATATAAATTTAATTTTGTGCCGCTGCGAGGTACAATTATCTTCCTCTTCAAGTCTTAAAGTTGCATCATAAGCATTATATTTCCAATATTTTAAAAGTAAAATTTGAAAAAGATAGTATTTAAATAATTAGTTTTTCTTAATTTCAGTTTTTATAATATTAAAAAAAACCCCACTAACTATTTGTAGATTAACATAAAATAATAAAAAATTTGTATTAAAATATTACATTAGCCCTATGCGTTAAATGGTAAAATTTGGAAATTCAAGAACCTAGGCTGAACTATTTGTGAAATTTTAGAGGTTAAATTGAAAGATTTTTAAATTTAGGAAGTAAATGGTTTTTATTTCTTATTTTCTTTTACACTACTTTTCAAACAAAGGGTAGAAAGTTTTAACCTAGAACTATTATTTCAAAACATGGCTTGCACGTTACATATTTCCTTTTATTTCATTTTTTTAATACAAATGAATTAGTGCGAAAATGGGTATTGTTCCACTTATTTCAATTTCGGTCCCTATTATGGATATAAATTATATTTAATGGAGGAGAAGATTGACGTTAGGGTGAGGGATCGCAATTTTTAGATGGAGGGTTCGGATTCTCCAATCTTCACCGGATGTTATTTTTAGACCAGACGTTCGTTCGAACTTGTTGAACTCTAATATCATACAAGATTCCTGAGATTTCATCTCAAAACTAATTAGTAACTAGAGGAATGGCTTAGATATATAATAAATACTTGTTAAGTCCATTATCCATTCAACATGGAAACTTTAACACCTCTTATGTGTTAAATTATCTGTAAAATATAAAATTTATCGTAATCTTTGGAACTAAGCAAAAGTTGTCAGAGTGATCTCACACCCTCTAATTATTTTTAAATCTAAATCTGAGTTATATCGAATCGCAACTCCAAATGTGATGTTATAAACTTTAGTAAAAAATCCATTCCAAATTTTTTTGGATAATGGGAAGATGTACCTTCTAGATGGAAATTCTAAAACGAGTTGAATATGGTTGTAGTAATAGAAATAAGATACAATTTACGGAAGTTGACAAATGAGAATATTAGTGCAAGTTATAATTACAAAAGGAGAATCTTAGAAAATGCAAAGATCACAACCCCACTATATAAATTTCATTGTCATCAAAGTTTGTGTTTCCACTTCCTTTAATTTTGCATTGAAAGTCAATTTGAAGATCAATGCCAATTTACAGCCATGGAAAGTGCAGCCAATACCTTTGACTTTCAAAAGAAACGTCTTTGATTTCCCTTTCTTCACATCTTAATAAAGCTTCCCTTTGAAATTTGACAGTATACTCAAATATAGATAAACCCCCACAAAAAAAAAAAAGTGTAATTTGGTGCATGTGTTTCTAAAAATAGTTTTACAAAACAAGGATTCAAAATAGTTCATTTTTTTATAACAATAAAATGGAGATAAAACAAAGTTATTTTAGAAATGCTTGTAAACTTGAGATATACAATATATATTCTCCAACTATTTATTGATTTATTTATTCAATTTTTCTTTTTAATTTACCAAAAAATTTAGTGTATTTTTTTGTTTCAAATTTAATTATTTAAAATAGTAACTAACATAAATACTATTTCTTCATAACAATAATAGATAATTCAAACATATTTATCTTTATCTCTTAAAATATTTTGGATCATCTCATTTATCATCATGGTTTAGTATTGATATGTTTTCATAAATATAATAGTTATATCTTTTGTGTCAAATTTTTTTCATTAAAAAAAAAATTGTAACTAAATAGCCTACCCATTTTATGGGATCGAATGAGTGAACGAAACGGGTATACTTCAAATGAAATTTAAACATGATTTAATCATGTAAGCATTTGTATAGTCTATTTATAATGAAATTTTAAGTGTCAAAAAAATCTTATTCATTAATTACATGTCTAAAAGGTACTAGGAACCACATTGTTAAAAATTGTATATATAGTTATAAAGATTAAAATAAGAACTAAGTACATAAAAACTTAAAATAGAGTTTTGAAACATGATTGCCATGTTTTGATATGTATTGAATACTTTAGGATAAGTCATGGAAAGATTAGGCACCTTTCAAGATAGTGAAAATGATATCTTTTATATGCCATTATTCCTTTAGGTTGTAGTGTTGAAATTAATTTAATAATTAATTTTAGTGTGGATAATAAATTAATAGCAATTATGTCTAGACTATTTAATTAGGCATATTGAGTCGTCCGCCAATCTTAAGATTTTATATATATATATATATTTATTATAGCTACAGTGTCCAATATACTATATTACTTGAGTCTCTTGTTTCGTAAGAATTGCTTATATTAGGTACATGTTAAGATAGTTGATAAAGACCGTAAATACGACTTCTCTCGCAGGTTATACTCAATGTTTCAGACAAGTCTAATCTGTTTGAATAGATTTTGGTTGATTTTAGTTTTCTTCCCTGCTTAGATCTTGATCTAGATTGTTCTTGAATTATGTAGCCTTTATTCTAGAATAATAATCATGGTGTACTATGTTCCATCATGAACATCAAAGGTTAATGTGGACAAATATTAAGCATTCATTTTTTTTTTATCAACTTTATTACTATTTAGTAAATGAAATAAAGTTTTGATCAATTTTTTAAGATAGTCCTCATCCTGCCCTTGCTTTTGGCTGAAACCAATGGAAATCTAAATATATACCCATGATCCAACGTGTGACTTTGTTCACATCCCATCAACTTAATTTTATCGATATATATCCAAGTCTCACTTAGCCAATTTATCACATCCACAAAATTGGTATATCAAAACATCAAAATCTCATTAAAATTATACCGGTCTTAATTTCCCAAAAAAAATAAAAATACTATACTATATCTTTGAAGGATGGATTTACATAAGAGGTAGCATGTTGATCTTTGGATATTCTCAAAGATGGATTGAGATAATCTCATAGAACTTTTCTTTTCACTTTTGGCATTACACATTCCTCTTAAATTAGCCAAGAGGAAGCAAAAAGTACAAATGGACTATGCAAAATTATCAAGATTGTGGGGAACATGAAATCTTTAGGATCACAATGGCTAAGATTTTCAATTTTTGTGAGTGATCCATAATTCACATAATGGAATAAACAAACAGTTGTTGAGGTTTGAGTAATCAAGGATGGGACCAGTTGTAACACAATATGGCTTATTTTCTCAAAGTGAGACATTGGAATTTGGAAAGAGAGTTCTATTTGAATTTTGCCACTATTACTTTTAGAAGTAAAAGGAGGGAAAATATCTTTTTAGCAACACCATTGGCGATATGCTCTAATAATTTACCAATGTTTTACATAATTACTTCATATTCAACTTGCTTTTTTATGTTATATATCTATTGACTTTTATAAATAAAATTCAAACTTATTCTAAATTTAAATATAGAACGCATGAATGGAGTTATGTTTTCTCTCCTCTCGATGACCGAGTTTTTTCAAATGAGAGCGAAAAAAGTGGGGAGGGGGTGGTTAGTGACTGACTCCCCTCCTCTCCTTCTCCTCTCCGTGAAAGGTGTGTGTTTTCTCTCAATCATATGGTGAAGCTTTTTTCATAGGGTGTTCCTTTTGTTACAGTTCTTCCTTTAGATTTTTTCAAGTAGTAAGTAGCATGGATCGAAATATTATAGAGACCTCTCTTGCTGTTGTAGAGGCGACTTTCGAAGAGGATACTTCTTTCCCGCTAGTTTCTATGATGGTGGGCGGTGGCAGGGTGTTGGGGATCTCCCCGTCGGATGATGATAATGCTGTTGTGGCTGATAAAATCAAAGCCAACATTGTTATGTATAGTCCATGGTTTCGTCGCTGGGACGTTTTGAAGAGTTATCAGGCACAAAATTGGAGAGGGCTCCTCTGCCTGCGATCTCTTGGGATGACTCTTCATTTTCGTTACATTCTAGTTTAGAGAACTTCCATGGTTTAGAGGTAAAGATAACGGAGCATAAGGTGGGCGACGATGAAGGTGCGGCAGAGTCGGCTCAAACACCATTTTGGAATCTGTAGAGGCTATCAGTATTAATTATATTGAGATTCGTGACCAGCATGATTTGGAGAATTTGCCTAATCTTTCCTTACCTGTCATGGTGGGAAATATGACAACTTTGGAGACAATTATTTCCCTTCAAATCCTAAATATGGGTGCCATAAATGATAAGATTCCTCAATTAATTGATGAATCTCCCCCGAAATCATTAAATGAGGTTATGAAAATGTTGTAACTTTGGAGAAAGTGTTTAGTGGGCTAACATTTGTTCATATTACTAGTTCTTTGAACATGCAATTTGTTTTATTGGCCAAGTGTAATGATCGTTTCTCTGTCATTTGAGATAGTTTTTATCCTTACTCGCTTTTGTTTGTGGTGCGTTGTCACTACTTTTCTGACATAACCCATAATATTCTTGTTTCTTTTTAATACCATGTTAATTTCATAGAATATATATATGCATGAATGGACAGTTTGAATTTCAGGCATCTTTTCTTAGGAGTATATATATATATATATATACATATATATGTATACATATATATATGTATACATATATATATGTATACATATATATGTATACATATATATATGTATACAGATATATATGTATACACATATATATATGTATACATATATATATGTATACATATATATATATTTTGCATGAATGGACACGTTTGAATTTCAGGCATCGTATCTTTCTCTTAAGAAAATGAGGAAAGATATGTAACACCCAATTTAGGATTAGATTCAATATTTACTGGCCTCTGACATTTTTCCCTGCATTCATCATGACTTGGTTACAAAACCCGACAACTTGACCAACCCAATCCAATCGGATTGAGTTGGGTCGGAAAATTCCCAAACCAACCGGATCGGGTTGGGTTAGCCATCAATTTTCAACCTACTGGTTTCCACCTATGGCCAACCCGAAAATTTGAGTTGATCCCGAAAATACCCCTAACCCGACCCAACCTGACCTGTGAACACCCCTATCTGGTTGCGCCATTTACTTGACTTCAGTTACTTGGAAGAAGTGAAGACTGTCCCTATAGATCAACACAAATTTCTAACGAAAATTTTATAGGAGGTCGTGCAACTTAATACTGCTCCAGCATGCTTAATTTTGGAGTTATTATAATTGAGCCACCGAAAAGGAAGGTGTGTCCACTTAAGGTGTGTCCACTTTGTTAGTATAAGTAGTTATCAATTTATTTGTTAGACATGATCTCAGGATCGATCACTTTCCTTCGAATGTGGTATATATCGATTTATTTGTATACCCCTCAACTTAATGCTAAAAAAAAGAAAGAAACAAATAGCAATAATTAAAAAAAGCATGGAGATGGACAGATGTTTGGCAAGAATGAGGGAGTGGGTGTGGGTGGGAGTAATTAGTATTATATGTAATATTATTGAAGAAGGTTTATGTGTGTCTGAGGAGGCAAACACTACCAATTGAGAATGATCATGGACTTCCTTTTTAAGCCTTTTTTTTTAATTTTATTTTTGCATAAAATAATTGAAATATCAACTTAGTGTTAGTGTAAGTGCTGCTTAATCTCTATATCTAATATAATATATGCATATATTTTTTTGTAATATATTAATGGTGGATTTCCTTTTTAATCAATACTTCTATATTGTCATTATGAAAAAGAGAAAAAAAAAGGTTATGATTTGGGAAAACTGCATTATGTATAGAAAATATAATTGGTGTTTTGTCTCATGAGGATTTTGATTTTAAAATTAAGCTTATTTATTACTAATTTCATTGTGTTCTTACTCATTATTTATAAAATTATTCAGCTAAAACTTAAGTGTATTGAAATTGATTTTTAATTTTTTAAAATTTTTTAAAGTAAAATTTTAGCGTCTATACTTTAACCTTATTAGCTTATGTGAATGTTTCGGTAGTTAACCTTATTAGCTTATGTGAATGTTTCGGTAGTTGGTGCGGTAGTGAAAATTCGACACAAGAAGTTTATGTGTTGATATTGTAATTAAATAAACTGTCACATTCCACCATAATTAAAGCTTGATTAATCATATTGGCTGAAAAGCATAAATCTTGTTAAATTAATTTTAAAATATTATTATAATTAGAAAGTACAAAAAAGTACTACTAATAATGTTGGTTGGATTCTGGCATGCTACAAATTACTTATCACCTTAAATTTATTTTATTTTTCACTAATATTAACATGTTAGGGACCATTTGGTCAAATTAAATAAAGAGATAAGAGATATGAAAACTTCTAAAACATTGACTAAAATAGTAATTAAAACAAATCAACTAAAAATATAACTGAACCTTTTTACCAAACGTTTGATCGAATTCAAATTTTATGAACAAAACAAAACAATATATATATATATTATTGTCTTGAAGTCAGAGCCAATATTGGTAATTAAATTAAAGAAATTAATATATATTTGTCTTGAAGTCAGTCAGAGCCAATCTTGGTAATTAAATTAAAGAAAAACTCATTCTTTTAAAGTTTTGTTTGCTAACTAATTTTTTTAGTTTTTTGTTTTTAAAAATATCTCCTACTCCCTCTCAATTTTTTTTAGTATGTTTGGATTTTTAGCCAAATTTTATGAACAAAATTAAACAAGTTTTAAAGAACTTTTTTTTAAATTTAATTAGATTTGAAAAATGTTTTTAAAAAGTTGATAATAAAGTAAAGAAACACATGTATAGAGGTATTATTTATGAAAAAAATTTTAAAAACAGAAAATAAAAAATGAAATAGGGTCTATATAAATTATTCTAGTTAAAAAAAAAAGAGAAGAGATGTGTGAAAGAACTTTTCTCCCACTAATTTTTTCAAACCAAAGAAGAAAGAGAGAAAGTAAGCATACATGTCTTTATACACAAAGTTGGTAAAATTCCAAGAATAATTCTTAGTTGCGCATTCAAAGTTAGCTATTATATATAATAAAGCTACAACATACCTAACAAAGAGTTAGAGTTATAATAATGAATAGAAAAACAATCTAATGTCAAAGGAAAAAAAATGGGAACATGATCTTTGATAAGGTTACCATTGAATTAAATTAGAACAAATCAAGTATGAGTTTCTAACTTTGTTCAAGATTGGTGTAAAGTAATACAGTACTTTAGAGGATTAAATCTTATACATAATCATCTACTCCATTCAGGCTTCAAAACACTTATCTACCACGTATATCCTAACCGCATAAATGAATGAAAAATAGCAGCTAATTAAGCTTAACTTAGCTGATTAAGGTATATACCTCCAACTAAAAAGTCGTGAGTTCGAATTCCTACCACATATGTTGTACTAAAAAAAAGGAAGGAATGAAAATATGTCTCGTTAAATAAAAGCTACAATTATATATTATGCTCAAAGACAAAAATAAAATATCTGAAAGTTTAGTACCAAAATAGAATAAACCAGAAAGATTAGGGCTCGTTTGGTAATGTTCATGTTTTTTGTTTCAAGTATGATAAAACAATCTTTTTATTTATGTTTTGGAACAAATTGGAAATGGAAACAAGAAAGTAAAAACTAGTTTTGGTTGTTTCTAAAATTTCTATTTGCCCGCTTTAGTTTTGACCATGCTGAGCCTTTTTTGGCTTGCTTCTAGGTATGTCCCAATTTTGATTTTCTTGACTGGTCGTAGATACTCACACATAGTCAGTGCCCCTGGTTGAGAAATTTATTTCAGAACGAATTATAAAAACTCAAGTATTATGTCAAATGTCGAAGACGGTTAATGCCTAAAATACATGTGTTGAGCTAGTGGTAGTATTTTTTGAGGTACTGGGCGTGCCATAGGTGTAGTAAGGCCTTTCCTTGTTGGTCATCCAAGGCATAAGTGCCTGTTCGAACCACCTTAGTGACTTTGTATGTGTTGGGTGTGTTGCCCTAAAACCGTAGTTTGTATTTTGTAAAAACAAATGTCTATTTAATAAAGTTTTATTCAATAAATTTGTTGTTGAATCATAGCTTTGTATTGTCCAAAATCCAATAAACTAAACATCCAAGGTTATTTATGATGTAATCGGGACAGTATATATACTGGGTATATAGTTGATATACGGGGGATATATTTGATATACACCTGATTTATGAATGGATACTGTCCCGTGAATAACCTAAAGGGTCTATAGTATATGGATAAGGCTGGGTACCTTATCCTGGCAACACTATGGATACGACCCACTCTGTAAAGGTT